CTTAGATTGGTTGCACTTTTTTAACGTTGAAACTGATTTTTCTTCGTTGGCAAGTTGTAGGTTGAAATCACTTTATCACTTGCTTTCACGATGTACCACATTTCTCGCAATACAACTTTTAATCACTGTGATCCGAGGTGCACTTTTTTACAGGCTCTAGGCCAAACGGCCGCCATTTGATATCTTTTGATATCATTCGGTTTGGCGCGCGCGTACGTTGGACTACTATACGGAATAAAAGATTTGACGCGCGAGTTAAAGTTTTGAACGTCGGAGGTTCTTTTTAAAAAAGATCTACTCACTACTGCTGCTACCTAAAGACTACTTTATTCAATCAATTCCTACAATTCCTACAGAGAACCTAGCACTCGCGAAAAGTGTCCACTATGCAAGTCCGGAGTCCAATCGATCGCCCGATTGCGGAATGCTGATGAAGGTCGCTGCTGTTGCCATTCTGTGCATCCGTCCTAGATGCTGACCGACAATGGAATATGCCAAGTGCGGTTGGCACCGGCGTTAACTCGCGCACATGCCATACCATACCGCAGCAGAATAACGATCAGGCAACTTTCCGCGACCCTTTCGCGTCGGTCGCCCGTCCACGGAAATACTATCCGGAGCTACGTCGTCAGTTTGTTCACTTATCCCCGTCAGAGGGTCCTCCAGCAAAAACAAATCACTCAAATCAAAATAGTGTTCAGATTCACTCTGTCCACCCTCCGATCTATCAGAACACTCATCTTCCGTTAGCTCTCTATCACTTTCAATCAGCTTCAATTGGTCTTCACTACGCTTCGGTATTTAATCCGGAATCAACTGAGCGCGATGGAAGTCAATTCTGCAAGTATGCAGCTGTCAACGTCGCCTCGGCCCAGTACTAGCGTCTTGAGGAACCTGTTTCCACCCGGTGTTGGCGTTTCCATAGGCCCACACAGGTCTGTGAGAACCAAATCGAGAATCTGTGTCGACTTCCGTTCAGCTTTCTTCGGGATTGCTGTACGCGACAGCTTTCCCTGCAGACATGCTTCACACGTAAGACCAATGTCACAATCCTTCACTTCAAACCCAACCGCAAGTTTTGCTATGGTAATTTTGTCTACAACCGTGGGGTTCCTATGACCGAATCTACGGTACCACTGATGTTGGCACAAATTATTGTGTTACTTACCTGCAGCTTCAGTATTCAAAACCGCCTCAACGATGTTCAGCTGATACAAGCTTCCTGAGCGAACTCCTTTGGCAATCACCTAACCAGAATCATCGCAGATATCAAAGCCAGTTTCCTTGCATACCACTGTTAAGGTGATACTCTAAGGAAGCCTTAGCGTGAAACTTCAAAGACACAAATGTCAGCTTCCACAAAACATACAGATTTGAAATTGCTACTCTCTGTTTGTAGTAGCACAGCAAACAAAGAGCAGCAATTTCAAATTTGTATGTTTTGTGGAAGCTGACATTTGTGCCTTTAAAGTTTCACGCTAAGGCTTCCTTAGAGTATCACCTTAATCCCCTGGATGTCAGCTTCGTCACAGAAAGCAGTCCACAATTCAACGATGGCACGTAGAGAACATCCGTGAGCGTAATCTCCACAGTAACACCAGATCCTTCAACATCATACACCGCAACCAGGAACACATCAAGGGCGCTTGACTCATCGATCGTTGAGATAAACTGCCTGTCGCTAGTCATATGGCTACTAGCTCCACTGTAGACAATCCACTTGCTCCGTCGGTTCAAACCGACCATAAACAACATCGCACTGGTTACCTGTTTCGCTTTCGGGGGCTCATTCTTCCTATCATCACTTTTGTCCTGCTTCTGGTTCGCCTGGAACAATCGGCAGTTCCGTCGAAAGTGCCCTTTCTTCTTACAAAAGAAGCACGTCTTCTCTGACACGGCAGTGGCACTCGATTTTAAACCAGTTTTCATGGCCTTGGCTTCACTCGAAGATTCACCGGATCGATCCTAACGCCGCTCGTACTCATCCAAAAGCTTTGAGCTTCGAGTTGCAGCGTCAAAGCCGCGTGGGGGTGACTCTCCAACGCCGTCCACTGTTTGAATCCGGCAAGCTTCGCAGGATCATTTCAATCTTCAGGGAATTCTCCAGGTCTTGACCGGCATTATGCAACCTCTCAAAGAGCTCCTCCACGTCAAACAAATGGCTTTCCGAATCGCCTTCGAGCAGGTTCAGGAGGGAAACTCTGGATGTCACCGTAACTTTTTCGTGGTACGTTTTAAGCTGCTGCCAAAAATTCTCAGCAGTCTTCACGAGGCTGTACTGATTACCTTCAATACACAGCCCCATGGTAGCACGGGCTTTTTGTTGTCCTTAACCCACAGTGCGGCGGCCGCAGTGGCTTCCGGCTTCGGCGTTCCGACCACGTACCACTCCATTCTGAACTTCCAAAGAAGCCCAGTTCTGGTTGTTCAGTTTGGTGAACTTGTTTATCGCCTCCATTCTCCTGGTATGCACGTACGAACATGCAACAACAACACGAAAGGGAATCAAAAGTTTGCCGCACTGTCCGAACGGAAATCACTATTTCCACACAACTTCCAGGTTAATGAAGTGGACAAACGTATTTGGGGGAAAACACGGGAGGAATTCAGAACGATTTCCGGAGAACAATAAAGAACGCACGCGGTGTCGATAGATGCGCGCACGTTAGAAGGGCGCACCAGTGCTGCCAATGTGGGGGTAGACCGTCACTCCATTCTATCACTGCAGCACTAAACATCACCGATACAGACGCTTTTGTACTGTTGATTACCCGTTCCGGATATTTTCCCGGGTCATCGCACAAATTCGTTTCATCATAGTTTACAATATTAGAAGGTGGTACATCTACGAGTTCCTTACATAACCTGTTGAAGTAGTCGTTGATGATTTTGTGAGACACAGCAGACCGGTTCCTCTTAATATTCTGGCACATTCTGTAATGACAAATCCTTCAAAAAAGAATAAACAAACCAATCAGCGATCGAAGTCCATGTGAAGAAGGGAAAGATAGAGTCCCTCAAAAGTCCATGACTGTACACTTGGTAACAACATGGTTCCATGCATTTGTAATGCGACACCTGAACTGAAGGTTCGATGCCGGATAGAATTAACGTTCTCAGCATGTTCCACCTGGTGTGGTCTGCTGGAAGTGCATAATCTAAACAGCCGAACCATTTTGATGGGTTCGAATGTTAAAAACCTAACTGTACGAAAGCTATCCCTTCTACAAATTTCAACCAGATTACACTTGCCGAATCAATCCATTTAACGATCGTATTAAGCGTTTACAAGCATATTATTTACATATGTTGATCCGGTTCGATCCGAGGTGAGATCCCTCTACAATGTTTCATGTTTTTAATTTGATGAAAATCTTCTGATTCTAACACCAACTGTCCAATTTAAATATCATACCCTACATTCCCCCAACTTTCTCCCTTGCCTTTACGGCAAAGGAGAACTGATCAAATTTGAGTTTTATTTACTCATAAATGGCATAAAGTGCAGGAACTCAGCGATGAGTAAATTTACCTCATGTTTTTCGGGAAAAAATTCCCGAATATGAGAAAAGTACAGATTGGATTCACTCAGTCTATTGGTACCACTCCTAGACTGAGTAAAATTTTCGTCAATTTTCCTCATTTTCCGGCAGTTGTTTTAGGTTTTCCACAGGAAAACATGAGGCTAATTAACTAAACTAAACTCAAATTTGTGTCGTTCTCATTCGCCGTGTTAGGTTGGCTTGACTTGAGCTTTCCAAACTGTTATACGACTTTGTTCACCACTGTGATTCTGTTCTAACCTCTAACTTCTCTTCTTCCATTCCTTTCTTCTTTCTAAGTCGGTTTGCTACTCTACTTAGTGGTGTCAAATCAGCCTACTGATCATTCTTGTATGAAATTGGTTCCAAACGTGAACAAATCCTGTAGGTTTCTTATGGCTTGTTTACGTTTGGAACCAGTTATGCAAAGTAGGCGACGATTGTTCGTATTTGACAGCCACCTCCCCTCCTTGGTTTAAACGTCTTTTGCTCTATTAATAACAATCCCGATAAAACATCCCACCGATTTTTCCCTCAACTTCGTCGGGTTTCGTCGGCATGATCGACCGATTTTATTTCCGACGAATCGGTCGATTGTTGCACCGACGCTTATGGGAGCTTAACACAGGGGTGACTGATTTTACAGTATACTAAATTGGCTCACCAAGTCGATAGATTGAAAGCGATTTGGTAGGGTGAATAATCGATGGATAAAATTTATGGTAAAAATCGACAAAAACCTATCAAATGGGATGATAAAGGACTACTAAATCGACTGATTAGTAGGCAAATAAAGCTTAAAAATAAACTGAAACAGACAACATCGGCTGATTTGTTGCTACTAAATAATCTGATTGGTAGACATAAAGAATCAGAGAATAAGTAAATCTCAAAGAAATCGTCCGACGCAGAGCTATTAAATAGCTTCATTAATCGACATACAAAAACGAACAACGAATGAAAGTCGACGAAATCGGTTGATTTTAAACCACTAAATCTATCGATTAATCAGTATAGAAAGAAATCAAAATACCTATGGAATCCGACGAAATCAGTTGATCAAGAGCTATTAAATAGGTTTGTTTGTATTTTCCTTACAGATAGTATAATCGCAGTTTATACTTACAGTATATTATTAATACCTTAATTCTTAATCTTAATTCTTGAAAATAATGTAAACACGGAATAAAGACGAAATCTCGGACGAAACATGCTCCTGCTGTTCCTTGCGGTAGTCAATAGCTACTGAGATCTTATCGGGGAAAACTCTGGCGACTCAATATCAGATTGAGAACAATCATCAGAACTCCTGCGGCTACTGTTCTCAGGAGTCGATGATGTACGGGATTCAAAGGACGTTTCTTGCGGTTTGGATTTCTTCGGACTGCCTCCAGGCTGTTGATTGGGCTGATCAGACGTCATCACCGAGTTCTTCATCGAACCCGCGAAGTGTGGAGCTTACTTTTTTGCCTGTGACTGGCTGCATCCCGGTTGCTGGGATGACTTCATCTTGTTTTCTTCTGAGCCCTCGGAAAGAGGAGATCGCTTCTTAGTCTTCGTCTGACTACATCCCGGCTGTTGGTCGGATGGCTTCGTGTTTTCTTTCGAGCCCTCGGAATGAGGTCGCTTCTTAGCGTCCCTACGCTGTTTCGCATAAATCCTTCCTTTTGCAGCTGCCACCAATCCCGTGAAAATTTTCTCAGGTGTTAGGGTGATATTATCTAGAAAACAATATAATTTTTAGTGTAATGTTCGTTACCTTGGATATTTATACTTACTGATGATATGCCGAATAAAGTTCAGGTTCCTTATTTCGTCAGATCGTCGGTATTCGTTTATCGCCTTATCCGCAATGATGACACGAAGCCAGTCGTCCTTGGCAGCATTGCTTAATGCGTACGCGATTTCTCGTTTGATACTGAAGTCATGTTGCGGGTCATCGAATTTTACCATCGTATATTGGATTTCTTCAAGGGTATCGAGAGGAAAAGTTCTTTTCATTGGGGCTTCCAAATTCTTGACCACCAATTCTCTGAGCTCTTTGAGTTCGTTTCCATAGTTCGTCAATAATTCCCTTATAGTTCGAAAATGGGCAAGGATGTCTCGATTTTGCTGTTCAGCTGTAAGGAAATAATAACATATTTCACAGCTTAATTAAAATTGAGGGGCCCAAACGCAAAGGGGTGTAAGTGACATTTTGGTCAAATTTGAGCTAACCACACTACAAAAATCTTCAGAGTTTAAGCTTTGCACCAGTATTTTTGTAAGATTTTTAAGTTAAACAGAATAAATTATCATAATTCTGAGAAAACTGGTTTAATTTTTGAAATCTCATACATTTTGTATGGGAAGATAAGAAACTGGCATAACTTAAAAGACCTTTTTCTCAAAACTAGGTTTTTGTCACTTACACCCCTTTGCTTCTAACCCCCTCAATTAAAATTAACTCTTTCAGATGAGTAATTACAAAGAGAAATTTAAATTCTCTGGGGGGTGCGACTGGTAATGAGTTTAGCTGAATGTTGTGGCTTTCTCAGTCTAGGGAAATCCAAACGGTTAAATTTGCATTGCCCTGCAATGAGCAAGATTCACAAATTTAACGTCATTGCTCAAGGTTCGAGAGAACCAAACTCCAATCCTCGATGAGGCGATACGCGAATTAAAAAAACGAAAAAAATTCCAAGAGCTCCTGGATGATTGATCCACGTGATCCTTCCGATTCTGCAAATCCTAATACTTTTGCAGGAATTCCGTCTACCAGTATACAATCATCCTTGCCATTAGCACTAATCATTAAAGAATTATCAAAATAGCAAGTACGATATGCGAAAGGGCATCCAAATAAAGTCTTCTTCATCTGAAACTGTTCTGCGAAATGTCTCTCCTTTCTTGTTCTCTCGCCAATATTGCATTGTTCAGCCATTCGTTTGTGAAGCTGCTGGAGGCGCTGATGTTTCTTGGTTAAATTACGCTGCAGGAGATCATGAAGTTTTCGTATTTAAATGCGCTTATTGACGGTAAATTCCCATACAGCTTTACATAATCAGGCAAGTGAAGAAGCATGCGCACATTGTGGGTAAGACTAGTTTGGCCGTAAAACTCATGGAAACGAAACACAAAATCACGAAGAAACTCTCGAGCTAAATCCACAAATTGGTAAAGGGTTTCTGGCCGACAAAAGACGAAGTGCGGAAAAATATAGAAGAAAGTGCTCATGCTGACTTACAACTTTTTTGTAATCAAGATGCCTGCGTAGCTGTCAAAAAGTCGAAATTCCGTTGCTTTGAAATTTGCCAATTCAGTAAATGGTCTTGGTTTTCGAGCAAATTCTCTTGGAACACTTCTAGCCAGATCGGAGTAGAAAATACCTGGAAATGAACTTATAATTAATATCCTGAAAATATTTTTAAGAATGTAAAAAGCACCTGCTCGTTCCCTATCAGCCTTACGTTATCTTCGACCTGAATATCCAGCTTTCTTTAGATTTCCTAGCATACTCTCAAGTATTTTCTTTGTAACACCTAAATGACACGTATGCATTGCATCAATCGCTAACTGTAGGATCATATCTCGTCCGATGATTCGTTCTACTCCAAATGTAGATTGAGTACGATGATTTTCTGGATCGATTCTTCTGCGGAAAGATCGATCAGTTCTGGCGGTGCATTCTTCCGGGGAATAAAGGTCATTCTGCTAACACGTTTGCCGATCTGTGTGCAATTTGGGCATCCATGTTTACTAACGTGAGACACAGCACCACTTATTTTGCAAGTTGCTGGACGATCACAAATAAACAACCGAATACTAAACTTCAACTTAATCATATCAGATTCACGCTTCAGCTCTACTCCATTTTTCATTAGATCATTGACTTCAGTAACAAAATCCTGGAGGAGTTCATCCGCGCTCGATGGCTCTTTTAATTCTGAGTAACATCCAATTACGAATGAAGAAATTTCTTGTACATTTGGAAAAGCAGCTAGAATTAGCCAAAGGCATCGACCGTTTTTAGCTACGGGAAGTCCATCGATATTTACGTCAAGCTCAATCTCTTGCATTGCAGTAACTATTGGATCACCAGCTAGGTTAGTTAAAGCATTTTGAATTTCGAAATATATGTATTCACCGGGGCTCACTTTTTTGGGAATAATGCTGTATCTGGGTGTTTCTAAAAGAGTCAAACGTGAACGCGGTACATCAAGACCTTCATCCCGCAGAATTTCCAGTAGTGATTTAGTTGCCTCAACCCCTAACCGATACTTGGACACAAAATGAGCAAGCCTATATTTTACAGGGAGGTTTGCACCGTCTTTTGCTATACGTTCACTTAAACCTATATCTGCAACAGCTTCCGTGTCGATTGGTTTCTCCGGAGGACTATTATCATCTTCTTGATGATCATCACTTCCATCCACGGGATGGACACAATCGCCTTCTTCGTCTGAGGTGAAATGGTTTTCCAGGTGGACATCATCCGCGTCGTCTGCCGCATGATCAGCAGCTTCATTTGCATTTTCCCCTTCACTGTCCATCAAATGTCGCCGGTAAATTTTATCATATTCCTTATATTTTGCGGTTTTCTGCTTTGTTCTCCAAATACTCCATCTACTAGCCATCGTGAAATTACTACAGTTTCACTACTTACGGTAAAAATCAACACAAAAACACGTTCTTTTAGCGAGAAAACTCTAAACACTTTGTAAATAAACAAACTGACCGTGACTAGTAAACTTCCATTATCAACACAAGGGTTCGAGATGATTAAATATACCAATTTTAATCCGACATAATCGACTCCCGACGAAAACCGACTTAGCTGATAGACTGATGTACCGACAGAAATCATCGACTAATGACAGTCGATTAAATCAGACAACGCATAGTACGATTCAAACGGCACCCGAGTTAGTTGGTACATTAATTGACTGTTTCGTCGGTGTATTAATCGGTTGATTTTGTCGGCACCCGATTTCGTCGGTCTACCGTAAAATTTCCCAGCTGTCAAATGTTTTATGGGGAAAGTTGATTATCAACCTCATGGGTCTGCTGTCTTGTTGCTTATTTCTAGAGTCGCGCACATCGCGAGCGTAGCCTGACTGACTCTTTTGTTTTCCTTGGCTTGACATGCAGGTGTTGTGAGATGCAATGAGGTATTCGTACTAAAGCCCTACAGTAAAAGTATGGACGACTGTCACCACAAAACTGAAAAAAAGCTGTTCCAATCGAGCAAAGCGGTGCATTTTGACGGTTCGATTGGAACAACTTTTGACAGACGTCCATACTTTTACTGTAGGGCTTTATTTCGTACCCATTCGTCATCGTGTTTCAATCCTGGTTTTTTTTATTAGTTATTTCTCGCGTAACATTTGAAAAGGGTCTATCCTCGTTGATCAATTCTCTTCATCGACTTTCTCTTTAGTTTACCACGGCAACATAAACGAATGTCTCGCTACGGACATACACTGAACCAAAACATCCACAATACTTCGAATGATTATTGCGTTGCTCGAGCCCTTTAACAATATGCATTCGAATTTCGGATGATTTTCTTATGGTTGAATTCGTCGTCAGATGATGAACATCCATATGCCTGTCATTCAAATACAGGATGATTTTCGTTTGAAAATTAGCTATAAAACATACGGCACTCAGAGGACAAACATTTAAGAATAGTGTGACAGGCAAGTGCTTTTAATTAGATTTATAATTTAATTATCTACAATTCCATACTGAATAGCCATAATAAGCCATTCCATTATGGATACAAAAAAATTTCGTGGTGAAGAAAACCTCCTCCACCACGAATTAGCCAAACATTGGTGTTCATGCTTTACCTTTGTTCGTAACAGCTCTGATAGCAATGCATGTGCTTCCACCTCGTTTGTCAGCTCAGATCAGCAAATGACATTCGATAGAATTATTTTCATCATCGTTTTGAATAATTTGCGTTATGGGGCTGAACCAATACCATATGCATTTCCATTTAGTATGACAGTCATTCTGCAGAGAGCATTACGCATTTCAACTGAAGGCCCTATCCCTTCTCATAACAAGTTTCATCCTGAATTCGAGAGGAAAATCATCTGATTTCAAAACAACCGTCATCCGGTTGCAGCTATCATTCGAAAAAGCGATTTCGGTGTTTTGTTTTGAATGGTATGAGGTTTCATTCGATCAGAGGATGATGTTTGTGTACAGTGTACGCTGACTTCGGAAAGTCGACCAGGAAGTGGGGGTTTTTGAAAAAGAACGTACTTGCCTGGGAAAGCAGGCTGGAGGACCTCAACTACAGTCTCAACAGCAGGACCGTGACGACTATGGTGAACGCTGGCAGCAATAGACCGGATTGTGTCGAGCTGAGAAGAGACCTTCAATGTGATTTTTAGCATGCGTCGCGGGGTCCGTCCATCCGACAGGAAGTATCAATTTTTTGGGAAATGATGCCAAATCGGGCCAGGTTCAACATTTAGTCAGCTGTTAAAAATAAAATTCAGCTTATTTTTTTCCCAGTGACATCAATTTTTGAAATAACTGTTATTGCTTACCATATTTATCAGTTTAACCGGGAAAAAACCGGAACTCTAATTACTTAAATTAAGTGGCCACCCTGCTACCATGAAACCGAGCCTCAGGCAAACATACGTTTACTGAGATCTCAGTAGATGTGATGTTTGTTTCGCTAAATGTCAGCAAGAAATCGTGGGATTTCACTCAATTATGTTGCACTCGGCTGTTCAAATCTCGGCAATGCATTGCAGAGCTGATACTTTGAATGCATTGAAATACGAACCTAGCAGAGACTTTGAAGAAATCCTTGTTTCTAAACCCTTCCAAAGCTGTCTTTACACTAAGTTACTTATTATTATGTTCTCAAATACCGATAGAAATTACATCTTATAATACTAAAGGACTGGAACCAAAAGTGCCATCGTAGTTGGAAAATCACAATCCAAAAAAAAAAAAGATTCACAGAAATATATTACACTGGCAGATAGAATCACACAATGAGCTTAAATCAGTAATGTTACTTCTACTATTGCTTAATTCCGACACTAGTTATGCAATTTAAATGCAAAAAAATTCAAAAGATTTTTAAGTAAATTAACATAGCTTAATCACC